CGGCATGGGTGGAATTTTCTTACTCTTGCTATTTTGCCTATGTACCAAAATAAGGCCCTCTATGTCTCTATTTTGCCTGGTACTCATAAAAATGACACAATAAGATGTCAACCATAATGAAATACGGTTTTGCTTGAGGTTTTTTTTTTTTTTTTTAATGTTTGTGAGTGTTTGGTTATGTTTTATGTATTTCTCTCTGAAGCTAAAACCTAAGGGGGACTTAGACTTAGACTGTCTGTTTACAGTATTGGCATAGTCCACATGCTATGACTCTCATGATAAATAAATGACAGGACGATGCCCATGCACTGAAATATTTAGCAACCACAGATCATTAAAAACTGGCAAAAGTTACATTCCAAATTTGCTTCAAAATAGACATTATATCAGTTCAAGATGTACCTGATGTTACTATCATCATCATCATCATCATTATTCCCAGTGCTTCAAAATAGACGTTATATCCAGTTCAAGATGTACCTGATGTTATTGTCATCATCATTATCATCATTATTATTCCCATTTCTGTGCTAATCTGTGAATGAAATTTATGTTTTATGTATTTCTCTCTGCAGCTAAAACCTATGGGGGGACTTAGAGTGTCTGTTTACAGTATTGGCATAGTCCACATGCTATGACTCTCATGATAAATAAATGACAGGACGATGCCCATGCACTGAAATATTTAGCAACCACAGATCATTAAAAACTGGCAAAAGTTACATTCCAAATTTGCTTCAAAATAGACATTATATCAGTTCAAGATGTACCTGATGTTACTATCATCATCATCATCATCATTATTCCCATTTCTGTGCTAATCTGTGAATGAAATCCATAGTAGAATGCCGGTGGTTGTGAAGGCAATGGGACCCAACCAAGGCAGAGGAGACATCATGCAGATTCTGAATAATACATAAGAAAGCAATATTGTCAGAGACACTTGCGGTCAGGTCTTTAAGAATGAGACAGACATACTGAGAGTGTATATGTACTGTAAGCATAATAGTCGAGTAAAATAACATTTTAAAAATAAAAGCCGAGGAATGACAGAGGCTAGAGAGCAATCGGGCAGAGGACAAATGAAGGAGAAAATGAGACAAGGAGAAGAGGCGAGAACTACAGACGCAGATAGCGGGAAAAAATACTAATCATAAATCAATGAAGCCATTCTGTGGCGCTGCCATGGGGTAATGAAAGCTATCTATTAGCTTTTCTCATTCCTTTCTTTTTTTCCCATTTCCTTCGCTACCTCTGCACTACGTTACCACCGCTGGCATGGATACTGCTTGCTCGCTCTCTCTCTTTCTCTCTTTCCCTTCTTAAAACAATTCCATAGGAAAGCACAGATTTAAAAATCCCATTTGTTTCGCTCAAGTTGACGCGTCATCTGCAGACTACCTGCGGGGGCTAAGTCAAGTTCACAAAAGCAGAACTCATTTTATAGCTACAATTGACCCCTGATGCTTAAATATTGGTTCGTACTGTAGGTGTCATAAACAGTATCGCCTCACTTGTCAAGAAGACTTACGATGTTGCTGAACTAGAATTCCATTTGCAGTGCAGGCATGCACAATGCAAGGCTGAATCCAACGAAACACATTTATAGATGCCTACCCTTTGCAAATGGCTAAATCTTATTAACTACCGTGTAATATTGAATGAGAAATTAAAGAACACAGTTCTATTATGCTTTTTTTTTCCCCCAAAACGGCTCCCAGGTGTCTGAATAAAAAGGTCCCTGATATTTGTCAGTCATAATACACAAAAGGAAGAAGATTTACAACACATCTAATATCCACTCATGGCAAGTCAGTCTTGTGCAAATGAGCCACGGCTCCTCTGTAGACTCGTACCAACCCGACCCGGCCCAATGTTCGTTACCATGATCTGCTGGAGCATGCAGACCATTCTAATCTTTGCACCACTTGGTCTTTTATAAATGTATAACCGGGCGGTTTTTCTGGGTTTTTTTTTCTTTTAACATAGCATTTCCAACTGAGCTAAATCAAATGAAAGTGATGTGATTGAGCTTAAAAAAAAAAAAAAGAAAAGAAAAAAGAGGCCCAGAGCTACACAGCCAGTAAAGCACACACGAGACAGCAGGAGAAAAGAGTTTCCCCACGGGCCGCCGCTTTTGACTAATGTTCGAAAAATGATAAATTAGCCCCTGTGTGGCATTTGGTGTCACGCACTTGCATGAGACTGTGTCATTGCTACACACAGACGTGTGTTTCCTTGCTGTAAAGTGCCACGGCGTTGCAGGCCAGCAGATCACAGTGTGAACAGATGTTCGCCGGGATGGGCCCACAACAGCGCTGTGAACAACATACTGCTGAGCTGAACAATTCTGGATAGGAGTCCAAGGAGATGCCCGAATTGCTTGATTGAAGAGAACATGGACAGAAAGGCACACAGCACACTGGCAAGAACATCAACCATTTATCGCTACATATAAAGAGGGGGTACAAACTCCATATGAAGGTAACTTGCACTGTCTCACTCAGACCAGTGTCAGGGCCCCGTGCTGAACTATTAAAACTTTAAGACCCTGTAAAGCAAAATGGAATGTCTTGTAAATTTGACACACCGCTGATAAAAGTGTTAACATTCCTGCCAAATTTGAATGATTTAAAAAAAAAAAAAAAAAAAACGTTACCAAGTGTGGCTACTTATATGTCGAGAATTACATAATATGACAGCCCTTCAGTTGTTTTGTTTTTTTTTTTTTTTAATTCTGTGAAGAATTAAATTTTTACATTATGACTCAATTGTAGGTACGATGGAGCCGATACCAGCCAACTTTAGGCACAAACAGGACAACGTGCTAACCTTGAAAATTCAACTGACCTTGTAAATGATAAACCTATGTTTGTTGTTCTGTTTGTTTCTCTGCTTGTCAGTGAAGACAATTTGTGGTGAATAAATTAGACCTATTGGATCCTGTAGTTGTCCGTGACGCAAATCATTTCGTTCTTTTGATTTCCTGAAAATAATTCCTTCTATTGAATGTTATGTACTACTGTAAAACATCGCTCCAAATGTAGATGGAGTCCGTCTGTCATCATGGAAGCGCGGGGAAATGAGCGGCGATGTGACAGAAAGGTTAGCGGCATCTCATTGAATGCTATCAGATCGCCTCCGATCATTCGCAGTCATATCACAGATGCCCTTATCTATACTTAGGCTGGGAACAATCGGAACAAAAGGATCACGTCAATCAAGGCGGCGAGACGAAATCAAGCCGGACAAATTCACACATGAGCTCGGGTGTGATGCGCAGACAGGGACGTCAAACGCACATCACACGTTGGAGTTACCGCGCATTGACAAGTTTAAGTGGGCGCGGGGATCAACGTTGACTCAGCGGCATAATGAGCTCCCCGCGGGCATACGCGCGACTAATCCTCTAGATCTGCTGTGATTACCAAAGGATGACGCAACCATGAGACAGCAGACAGGCTAGTGCTGCTCGGACACCCCCTCGCCCTCCCAAACACATGCACACGCACACACATGCACACACACGCACGCACGCACATTTGTTTTGATGTTTCCATATTTAAAAAATGAAACCACAACCATGCTCTAAAACTGCAAGGTGTCCGTCCATCTTTCATTCATAGAAAGCCTTGGAAGAACATGAGAAACTTGAGGCACCCCATCACAATGTGGCAGGCTGGGAGGGAACCTACCGGCACCTGTGGTAAACCGCAGGGTGAACTGTAGTGTGCTTTTGAGCCTTTGGGACACAGTGGGTCCTCGCCTCTCAAAACTAGCCACGGATACTGAAAAGCCGTGAGAACACTTAAGAAAAAGACTTCATTCAGGACAGTGGAAAAAAAATGTGCAAAATCCTCCGACTCACTATGTTTCAAGCAAGAATGGCTGCCGTGGCCACCTTGAATACAGTGTCATAATATGCATGTTTTTTTTGTTTTTTTGGGGGGGTGGGGGGCCCTCAGGAAGAACTTCACACAGAAAGGCCGTAGCTCCAATTCAAAACTCCAATTTCAGAAGCTCTGCGGCAGCTTTGTTGACCAGCATTAAACCATGCTGCCTGGAAAATATTGGAAATGGAATTAATCTGACCTAGGGTCAAAGTATCACAATCATAACGCTTTGCAGAAGTTTAAAGTTATAAAATTGCCTCGCCATTCTCAACAAGTGCCGATATGCATCATGGTGAAGTGGTCAAGCGTTTGAAGCTTGAGTGTTTATCATCACAGGAATTTCGATACACTCAAATTGATTTAAAAAAAAAAATTCCCAAGTTTTTATTCCACAGGGCGTTTTCCTTTGGACCCCTTTCAGGCGTGCGTACATGTACGATAAGTTGCTGGAGGGAGTCAGAGAAATGTTGCATTCTGATGAAAGTTTTCCCTTTGACATTGCAGAAGAGCTCCAAACAAAAACACACACCCAAAGAACACTCTGAGAAGTAAAGAAGTGAAAACCAACTTTCTAACTGACTCACAATGTGGATTTTTTTTTCTGTTTTGGAGGAAGGTGATTTAATGTGAGCAGATGGCAGGTGCGATATTCGGGCTGTTAGCATTAAACTGCCTCATTAGCATGTAGGGCACACTTATCTGCTCATCCATTTCTAACTTGCTCAACTGCATCATCAGAAAATAAGTTCAACAGCAGAAAGTTTGGTGGACTTCATAGTAAGATGGTGGTCGTGCAAAACTAATTCTTGTGACCAAACATTTACAGTAGTATGGAAATGCCACCACCGCGGTGACTCTTTTGTGGCCTTATTCGCAAACACACTGACATGTCATTTCTTTTTGATCACCGTTATCAGCAGAGGCGCTATTAACTGCGTCTCGATAAAAAGTACACTTCCGCTACGGCAACACTTTTCTTGGGTGGACTGTATAATGTTCAAAGCAAAACATACAAACATGCTCACACACACACAGCTGAATACGGCACCCAATCTTCACTCGCCATCACCTCCGCATGCAAAGGAAAAGGGGATCTTTGGCCGTCACCTGATGCTGCTCATGCTGCCGGCCTCCGATCCCAGTTTGCATCTCTCGAGTTGGGTGGCAACGATCTGACGCTCGGCTTCCAGCTCCCGGGTCAGGCGCTCAAACTGCAGCTCCTGTAGATGCACAGGGCAGACGGCGTACGTTAAACGGAGCATAAGAGGGAAGGACGAGGACATGGAAATGTTCATGAATGGCAGCGGGCCGGAATATTAACGCCCACTTGCATTCCAGGTCAACAGCCAATTATGATTGAAATAACAACAACGGTGATTGCGAGATTCATCTGCGTTATTTGGTGACACCTGACCGGTGAATTGGAAACAATAATGACACAAAAACTGGAAAGTGTCTGCAAAGTCTTTCTCACACACTTCAAGGTCTCATTGTACATATTGCAGTGCTTCAATGTTACTGAAAGGTCTCATCATATGCAAAGTACTTTGTTTAGGCAACGTGTGACCTGATGCAACAACGTTTCCCTTGAGGCACGTTGACAGCACTCGGCAATGCAACGTCTCAAAATCGGTGTCATCATTCTTTTTGCTCAGAGTTTTTAGCTCGGATGGGATTGGCGTGTGAGAGTAGGTGGGAGGAGGAGGGACTGGTTGAAAATAGCCCAGATGCAAAAATAGCTTGTTCATCCCTTTGTTGACACTGTCGCTTGAATAGGAGTGCTCCTTTTGAAAGTGTATAAATTAGGCTAATGAGCACATTTGTGGAATTCCTCCTTGGATCGTGCTATCCCCACGTGGATGTATCATTTGAGCACGGGGTTTATTATTTTGTGCATAACCGATAGTTAGAGCGTAGTGACAAATAACACAGAAGTACTTTCGCAAACGGCAGCCAAGTGAAGTGACTTCTTGAGAAACCTGTCAGGCTCACCTATTCGGTATGCAGCTATACCATGCACACTACTGGCTATTGAAGGAACTTACTTGACGAGTTAATATATCAGCACTTTAGCTTTGAAGTAAATCTGCCTTGAACCATAAAAATGACTGTGTGCAAAGATGCATTCACATACAAGTGAATCACGCGCGCACGGATCAATAAGCGGAATTGTTGGAGTCCCCCACCCTTACACCAGGAGTGTGCAAGTACAATCAATGTGTGTGCACATGTGTGTGTGTTAGTGTAAGAGAGAAACAGAGAGACAGAGTGAGAGAGAAAGAGAGAGAAGCAGAGAGCGAGAGAGAGTTGCAAAGAGCACGTGTGCTGGTCTGATTGGTTTTCAAAGCCATTTGAAGCGCTGAATGACTTGATCCCCCCCAGACGCTATCTCAAGTCTCCAAGCTCAATCCCCTCAACTCCTCAACATTACAGAACGGTGCAATGCAATTCATCTCCCCCAACATTCTCAGGAAGCACTTACTCATCAATATGCACACTTTCTTCCCCCTTTTCTCATGCCTCTCACTTGCACACACACACACACACACGCACACACGCAACAAGGCCCCACTGTTAAGATATTACAGCATATATAGATAGAGAGAGAGAGAGAGAGAGAGAGAGAGAGAGAGAGAGAGAGAGAGAGAGAGAGAGAGAGAAAACATGTCATTTGAAAGCATCTGGGCTAAAGAGCCAAACGCCCATTCACATCCACATCTCGACTGAATGGAAACCCATGCCATGCTGCCTGCACACAAGTCAGCCAAGTGTACCACTACACCATCAAGTGAAAGAAATAACTGAGGAAAATTGTACTACTGTGCTCAATGCCTCAAATTGATTTGTGAGCACCCAGCTTTCTTAAAATGAAAACAATCAATCAAAGAATCAGTCGTGTTATTGTGTGAAAGGTTAGCTGAAGGAAGCAGTTGCAGCCCCACCCCCGTTTTCCAAAACACAGTACAGTACTGACTCACTTTGGTAGACTCTACTTGCTATACACACGCACACACACACACACACAAATATACATACATATATATATATATATATTATACTGGTGATAAAAGGCCTTAATACTTCTCTTGTTCTGCTTTCTGCTAAAAACGATTTCCAATGCCACGCTATACTTTGGTTATATTTTAATGTACAGTACACGATAACAACCTCGATGTGCGGTACTTGGTATCGCTTCGGAAAGTATTGTGTTTGGGCTCTACATGATTGGACGAAATGCAAGATAACAGCAGCGGCCCTGATATCAGAGCTGTGAATGGAACAAATTGCAGCCTTGCCCTCTCACTTTGTTAGTATAAAAACAACACCCCCCCCCCAAAATAAAAACAATGTGGCTCTTTCGACACGGTAGACAAATGATCCTGCTCGCCACCATAAAGACGCCGCGTGGTGACTGCGCTTGATGGTCTCAGTGTGTGTCTGAAGATAAGGCCCAATCATTATAAAGTGGCCTATGGGTAGCTATTAGCGGCGCTGTTTTTGGATGGGAGACAAAAGGCTATCAAACAGAGCTCTGACCTTCTCTTTGAGACGTGACGCTCCCTCTCTCAACCCTCCCCTCTCCATCCTCAATCAGCAGAGGGAAAAATGAGTGGAAGGAAAGAGCGGGGAAAAGGACGCGTGAATGCGAGCTGGTGAAAAGGTCGCACCGCTCTCGTCCGTCACGCCCGTGCATACTGAAGACCACCCCACCCCACGGGCGTCACATGTTACTTTTTTTTCCAAGGGATCACCTTTCAGAGACTTATCCGTGGCCTTCCTTTTGCACCTGCCGCCGTTTTAATGAGTGCAAAGTCGAGCAGTGTGGGTGGGCCAATACCTCCAGGTGAGGACGGTGAGGTGACTGTGGTGATGAAAGTCACATGAGATGATGGCCACAGGGAGGAAACTTGATGCTCCCTCTTTATATATTCAAGAAAGAGAAGGGAAGGGGAAAAAGAAAGAAGCACGGATATCACCTCTCTCTCTCAAGTCAGCTACGGGTTTTTGTGAGGTTTTTTTTTCTATTTTTCATCTGCAAAACTATTGTAATTTAAATTTGGCATCACCAAAGTGGTTTTCTTGCCCGGTTAGGGGGAGTTAGATCATTGGATGGCATCAAAAGAATTGATTAAGGGATTGATGTCCCTCTGCGGCAGCTTTTTATTTTTTCTGCAGTTGCAGTTTTGCGCCACTAGGGAGGCGCTATATCAACAGCAGTGCGCAGTAAAGACCCGAAGCAAGGGCTCACGTCCTCCTTCACCGAGCTGCGGTACGCCTTGATCAGAGAGTGAAAGAGCAGCCATGAATTACTATGAGCGTGTTGGAGAAAAACCGAAACCAGAGCATCCAAGGCAGACAACACATCTTGACAACTTGTAAGTAAACATTCATTCTACTTTGAACGAGACTGAACTCGTCGTGAGCCAGAGTCCATTGGGCAGGGAAAATCAGACCCTTTTCCTGTATCCGGCCTCGGGATGCTTCAATAAATAGGCATGGGCTTCTTCCCAGATGCAAGAATCGAGCAGGTCTACCTGATGTTACAGCATCTCAATCTTTCAACGGTGTAAAATTGTCTGAAGCGCAAGGAAAGAAAATCCGTCTTGACAAGAGCGCTAAAACAGCTCCTTTAAAAGGGGAAGCGACTTGAGGCGGTGGACGGACACGCTGACGTATACAAATAGCGACTTTGCAAAAACCCTCCTCGAGAACCCTGTCAGTTCTGTTTTGGGGATAGCTGTTGGTTATTTCACTCAGAGGCGCTGTTCCAGAAAACAGCCTTAGAGAACATGTTGGAAATAGATGGAGCTTCGTCACATTTTGGGAGGATGATGCGCTGCGACGCCTTCACGCAGCTCCGCCGAAACTCCTTTCCAATCTTGTCTTGTACAGAGGACAGCTTTGTAGCCAATTATAGCACCCGAAACGTATGATTTCATACCTCCACTTCTCCTGTCAATTTTAAAGAAGTGGGAGACAATCGCGGCGTTTGCACTTCAGGCACTTGGTTTTGTTTGACACCACTTTCAGACGCATCAACTTGGAGTACACCTTTAAAAAGGGAAGAGATCTGAGATGCAAGACTGCCAGCAGCTGGCCCATAACAGTTTTATATGCATTATAAATATTCAACACGCAAACACACCAATACTCTGACAGAGCTCCCCCTCATTAAATTATTTAGGAGCTCAGTGGGAAAAAAGAAAACATCTCTCTTTGTCTCTGATTTCACTCTGACTTCTCTTATCCATGTGTGGGTGTGTGTTGGGGCGGGAGGGGGG